TGGTTTTCTTCTTCTTATAAGAATGCATTTTTTAAGGAGGATTGGGTTTTCATCTTTGTACAGTCAAACTGCCCAATAAAGCGGGTTAGTGACTGAAAAAGTTCAAGTGCTTGGTGCAGAAGAGAGGGGTGTAACACCCCTAGTAGAGTCCATGAATCTTACTGATTGAAAAAAATAAAGACAGTGCCAAGCAAATTAGACAGTAGAGAGGTCTTAGACTTCTGTGTTGTGTTGTGCCTGTGCAAAGAAGGTTAATACTGGGGAGCTTTTATAATTCTGTGACAATTATTCAGTCAGATTGAGTTATGATTTAATCTTTCTTTGTATGTGTGAGTGGAGTGTATTGTTCTTCATCCTTGCCACAACAGGCTCATCCTGCTTGAGCTTTGTAAATCTTCTGCTTATCTGTGAATTTCACTCGGTGATCAAGGCTTAACTGTGCTTCTGTGGTTTATGTTCTGAGCACTTAAATCCCTCACTTTTGTGTCAGCACATAACAGACCATATGCTTCCATCCATGGCATTATATATATGAGCCATGGCTCAAGTTTGTGTCTTTGTTACCTTATGCTGGAAATGCTTTTGCTTCTGCATCGGGTTGGCATTCAGGACCACTGCCCAGCTTCAGCTCAGCCAGGACATGAAAGAACCATTTCATCCTTTGGTGATTAGATTGATCAATTTGGCCAACTGACATCTCTTACTTTCTCTAAAAGAAGCTGGATTCCATCTTCTCACAGCTGTCTGTGAATCTGGTGGAAGAGGAAGCAAGTGAGGATTGCTACTTGAAGAAGAGCCATGGGAAAGGGAACTGGTGAAGGTACAATGTGATGTTGCTGTTACTGCAACAAAAAAAGAGGTTCCTTAGTGTTGTGGTGGTTATTGTCAAGTTGGTAACAGCTACTCAAAGAACATCAGAGCAATTGACCCTCCTTGAAGGAGAACAGTATTTTTTCATATAGGACCAAAACAAAAAAATATTGTGCTTATAGGTGATTTGGTGGGATGCTGGGTAGAGGTGCATACTGACTCAGTATTTTTTCATGTGCATATTAAAAAATGGTATATTAAATACTTTGTGGTTTGGAATGGAAATTGCAGAAGCTCCAGTGCATAACTTAATTTCTGCCTGTCAGTCTGGAAATGACAATTTCTTTACCTCTGGATGGAGTTCAATGATATTCTCAGTCTTTGGACTTCTGCTTCCTTCCTGTTTTCCATCAGTGTATGCTGGCAGAGAACCAGCTCTCCCAGGAGATGTCATAAGCTTCAGTACCTCCTACAAACAGGGCCTTTGGGAGTATTTGCTCCCTTTGCACAAAGTGGAGAAATTCTTAAAGCCTATTTCTGTGCATCTTGAAAGCTTGATGAATCAAGATCCTGGCAATAGCTTTGCAAGCCTAGAATGTCAGTAGCTCCCTAGGAAGTTGGTGACTTCTGTAACTTGGCTCTCTAACTCTTCTCTCCCCTGCATGAACATTTGTCTTAAGATGTTTCACAAGCCCTGCGATACTTCCAAAAATATGTGTTTCAGGGAGGGAGTTGATGAAATTCCTGCCTGTGTCTTTCTGTTCTCAGTACTGAACCATCCCAACAGCTGTGCTCCAGAGCAGTAATAAGCAGTTCACACTGCCCCAGCCGCCTGCACCTTCTGGCTGCTGCCCACAGCTGGAGCCGGCTGCTCTGGGTGCGTGTTCTGGCAGCAGTTGGTACCCAGCTTCTTTCACCCCTGCAGTGTCAGTGTTTGTTCTGTGGACAGCAGTAAATGGGATGCTCTGCCTGGTTCTGTATTGCTGTGCTGCAATATTGGGACGTAAACTTTGTTGCTGGAGCACATAAAGGGTTGTACAGAATCAAACTTGTAATTTTTCTTCTATTGGTCCCAGTTTAGAGTGCACATATGGAGGAAGTTGAAGAAACCTATTAAGGAGACTGTTTGGGGGTGGGGCAGTGAAAGCTTAGGGAACAGCTAATTCTCAGCTAAGTCGCTGCATTGTCTGTCCCAGACTTTCTGGATGCCTCTGTTATGTTGGACTGGGCCTTGGTTTGCAGAGGTGCTGCATTCTGTCAGAGATGCCAGGAGGAGAGAGAGAGCTAGTCTAGCAGGGAGCAGAGGTATTTGACTTTCTCAGTTTTTCAGGTACCACCATTTCATCCTCTTACCCATGCAAGCCTCCCTCCAGCAATTTTCAGTGCCATCAGCACTTTCTAGTAGACCTCCTCAAAGCTGCAGGCTCTGAGAAGCTTTGTTCCCCTGAGGCTGCCTTGCAAAGGACAGTCCAAGATCAGCTCAATCATGTTGAGAGTGGAAGGTATTGATGTTCTGGCTGCCTAATCCAGACCTTTTTTATCTATTTCCCAGCACATTTTAAAATACTTGTGCACTCCTGGGTGCTGTGATGACACATGAAGGTTGGGGGTAGAGGGAAGGGGAGGTGGCTAATTCTGCAATCCCTTCCCTGTGAATAGGACAAGTCAGACATAACTGCCTGAACACACTTACAAGCTGCTTCCCTCCTTTCCTGTCCAAGTGGTCTGTGGAGGTGAAGAGGAATCCAGTTTGCAGTTTGCAGCTGTGCATTTCCTGAAGACCTTAACTGAGAAGAACAAATGAGGTCTCTGCAGTTGCCTTATGTGATGGTACTTCCAAGCCTTTGAGAGTGCTATTGCAATGTAAATGAGTGCCTGTCTCTTGTTGGCTGGCTGATTTTTGTACATAACTGAGAATCTCATCAGTATAGGTGGCGCTTTATTATAGAAGGGGAACCAACAGTGGGCTGCTTCTGTGTGCAAAAGGGCTCCTAGTTCAGTGGGCAGGCTTACACATGGGCACAGCTCAGGAGAAAAGGGAACCACAGGACTGAGCTCTTTGCTGCAGTCAGTGGAAAGATGCTGTGCATGACTCCCAAGCAATTCCAGGTACCTGCTGTGGTATAAAAAGGTGTAGGGAAGTTGTCCTGTCTGCTCTTGAGTTTTGGCAACTGCTGTGGTGACGCTGGCTTTTACCCACAGCTCTCCACCAGTGCCAGGAGAGGCACCTGTTAAACTGCTAAAAATATCTCTGGTGCTCAAATGATTTTGCAATGAGCAAAAAAAAAAAAAACTCTCTCCTGGACTGCAGATGACCAGGGCATTTGTCTGTGTGCTTGAATGTGAAATGTGCCACTAATCTGTTGCTTTGGCTGATCCCAACTGCCCCGAGATGTTTCACAGGCTCACAGTGAAAGGAAGTTTAGCCTCAGAAGGGGCAGGATTAAAACACTGGTTAGAAAATCATTGCAGAAAGTAAAGTTGAAAAGCACAGAAGAGGTAACAGTTAAAACTCATGAGGCACAGGATAGTAGCTTCTCTGAAGCTTATTTAAAAATAAATCCTCATGAACAAAGTCCTTGTGAAAAGCTGCTGCTTAGACCCCTGTTAACCTTTTCTGAAGAAGTAAATTGAATTGCAGTTATAAAGCTGGCAGAACTCATACCAGAGCATTTTTGGCTTCAGTGAGCACTTCATCTCAGGGTTTATTGGCATTTACAAGCACTACCTGTATTGCATTCTCACACATGTTTAGGTTCAAGAGTCATTTGCACCAAGACAATGTGACAAATTTTTCCACAGTGAACGAATCTCAAGTTTTCTTTTGCTTCTTAAATCTTACTCAAAATCCAATTACTTGAATTTTGCCCAGCTGTTTGTTGCTATTTGTCCTACAGTAAGTAGGTCACTTAAAGGTAGAACATGAGAGAGTGTGTGCTCTGGGGTTTAAGGACAGGCCTGGGTCACCATGCTCTGATGGGACACTCTGGATGGGTTGACTGATATTCCGTGCTTCAAAATGTCTCAAGAGAGATCTATGATGTATTTTCTTTTACAAAGTCTGGGAAGCTGATGTGAATTTTAAGGGGAAAAAGTCTGGATTTCTTCATCTTTCAACCAGGCAGATACATGTTGTCAGGGGAAGTTATTTGGGCTGCTCTGAAGGGTCATTGTGACCTGTCAGAAGAGACGAAGTTCTAAGCAAGACAAATATCCTGTTTTCAGTGCAGCTTCCTCAATTTTGGTTTGTTGTTTTTATTTGAATGGCTACTGAAAATTCTGCAAGAAAAGTTCTGGCATGTGCCAGATACCACATGTGCCTATACTTACTAGTCAGGATAATGAAGGTGCAGAAAGGAATGTGAAGCACTCCAGAGTTCATACAGGTAAACAGAGGTTTTTTAAGAAGTGTTTTTGTAATGCACTGGATTCCTTTTTAAAAGTAGACTAGAACATTTGGTCCTAGGAGAAGTCCTCTTGAGATGATCAAGTCCAACCTTTGATGGAACACCACCATGTAGCTAAACCATAGCACTAAGTGCCATATCCAGTTGTTTCTTGAGCTCTTCCAGGGATGGTGACTTCACCATCCCGTGTGCAGCCTTTTTTAATGCCTAACCATTCTTTCAGTGAAGAAGTTCATCTTATTGCAACAAAGCTCTGTTGCCAGTCTTGTTGATGGCATATCTGTGTAAAATAGTCAAAATCTGTGTGCTTTTACAGGCTTCTAGGGTGCCTGATGACAGGGCAGGTCTGCACCTTGACATTGTGTACCTATTGTACAGAGGGGTTTTTGCATTCCTCTTTCCTTTGAATAGGTGTCGTGCTCTTCCCCTGCCACACTAATAGGAAAGCCTAGTTGTTAGGTTCACCCCAGTCTAGTGAAACAGCTGTGGGGGTAGGATAGCAGTAAGGATTTTCTGGGCCTCTGTTGTGTCACTATTCAAAAATATCACCAGTTTGGTGCCTGCCAGTTGGACTGTACTACTGGGATAACAAGCAGTATTTAACAATCACAGAAACTTTATCAGAGGTGTTCTCTGCCATCATGTAACAGCCTTTTTTCTCGGTTTTAGTAGTTTCCTAATTTAGTGGGTGTTTGTAGGTGGAAGTCTGCCTGTGTTTCATATATACTGTGTAATAGGTGTCTTCCTCTAAGATGTCCTTCATGGTACTTTCTTTTATATCAGATTGTCCCCAGCCACCACAACCTGAGAATGGAGGCTATAAATGCCACCCTAGTCCCTGCAACAACCCTCTGACTTCAGGCAGTGTCATAGAGTATCTGTGTGTTGAAGGCTACATGCTGAAAGGAGATTATAAATACTTGACATGCAAGAATGGAGAGTGGAACCCAGCCATGGAAGTCAGCTGCAGACTCAGCCCAGGTGAGTGCTTCTTGACTCTAGAGTTGCCCTTGCATTGACTTTTCAGGTTATCCTTAAGCACTTTGTATGGTGCTGAGGAAGTCCATATGGCTGTCTCTCATTGCTCCAGCAATTTCATAAATGCAGCTCACAATCATGACTCTTTCTTAAACATGTCTCTTCAGTAGCAGCCCATCAGATGCAGACTTAGAGTCCCAAACACAAGGAGAAAAGCCATGGACAGGAGTATAAAATAGGCAATTTGTTACTTATGTGGAGCCTCTTGTCTTGAGGCTCTCATCTCAGGAATGCTGGAAGCCCTAACAGTAGTATTTTCCATGCTGTCTGGTTTTCCTTGATGGGTTTGATAGTACATCTCCCTCAGTGGGTCTGTATGTGTGTGTGTAGAGTCAATCTTCCTTGCAAACAGGTTAAGTAACTGTTGGTTTCCTGTGTCAAAAAGATTGATGGTGCTGCTTTTCACTGTACTGGCAGGAAAGGACATTGCTGACAAATGATTTCTGCTTCTCTCCGAATAGAAATGGACAGCTTTTGTTTTGTGTCCCTCCCATCTGAGCAGGAATTCCTTCATCAAAGCAGCAAAGTAAAAAGATTTGCAGGAAAATGTTCATCATACTTAATTTGCCTACTATTCTTTTGGTGGGTAACAGTGGGTATATTGGGTAAAGGGAGAACTCTTGCCCCTCTTCTAGGTGGGCGTGTTGATGGAACCTTACTACTCAGTTATGCTGAGCCAGCAGGATGTACACTATGGAATTAAGTCTTGTAACACATAAAGCAAAATGTGTCAGCTTAATTGGAAATAAACAGAAAAAAAAAAAAAGTACCTTGACTAAACTCTTTATGGAGCTCACTGCATCCCTGTGATCTCTGGAACATCCTGTCCCGTCCCAAAGGCACTGTCTTTTCAGTGTCTCTGCCACTCCAATAGCCCCATCCTATGATATATAAGGAAGGATCTGGGAGTTTACTGGCAGCAAATAGATCCTGAAGAGGTTTTTCAAATTCACCTTAAGCTTCCTTTCCACAGTGATCCCCCTTTCCCTTCTGCACCCAGGCTGGAGAGCAAAGCTGTGCTATTGCACATCGTGTTCCCTGGGTGCATTCCTGCATGGTGGCACTTGCTCTAGTTGAAGGATTGTGTTGTGATGAGCAGAAATCCCTCAGATTTCTTTAGCATCTTCAAGGGTCAGTGGCATTATCAAAAAATATGGTGCCTCAAAAGTCTGATCCAATGAAAAAGCCATTGCTTTCACAACACAAGCTTTGAATCAATTGTTCAGGGTCGGAGATAGCTGGCTCTTAACTAGTGGGTCTCCTTTAAAAGGCTCAGAGAAGGGGAAGGGGGTGAGAGACTCTAGAAAGGCAGTAGGTCTTAAAATTATTGGTAAGGGTAAGATCCTACCTCTGTAGAGGATAAAGTAAGTTCCTAGCAGTTATCACGTGTTTTGTGCAGCTCTGAGCCTGTCAGCCCCATAGCCTTTTGGTAGTTTATTGTATTTGAGGTAGTGACATTTTTTTGGCATATGAGATGGTAAATGTTCTGGAGTGCGCCCTGGATAGTGAACAGTTTGACAGCATAATGTACTAATGCTGAAAATAGGGTATCTCTATTTGCCTTCCCTTGTTCCTGTTAGTGCCCTGAGAAATGCTGGAAGTTAAAATCCTTACTCAACCCTGTTTGCCATAGGGAAAAATGTGCTAGTTGCTGGTTTTTTTTTTTTTTTCTTTTCCCTGGGGAAGGGTCAAGCTACTTCTAAAAGATTTCAAAGAAACAAGTTCAAACCAACTAAACCAAGTAGGTTTGACCCCAAGAGATGCAGAAAATTGCAAACTAGGTTTCCATCTTAAATGCCTGTTTTGGGCATAGATTTCAGGCTGTAGGCTTAAAAATAATGATCTTCCAGTTCTTTTTTTTTTTTTTCCTGTTTACCTAGTGCTCTTCCTCTAATACCTAATTGTATGTGTCCTGAATTCCCTCTGCATTTGTGCTCCTGAAGAATGTGTTGGATATAGACAGAGGAACTGAGGAATTGCGTAAACCAAATGTGCAACTCACAGTAGTGTTTGTTGATGGGTAGTTGAGGCTTTTTGGATCTCTACCAAAGACACAAATTAGGGACAGAAACAACACGTATAGACAATTATTTCCTCTGGAGAGGTGAAATGACTAGTGTAGCCTTCTAGGCATGGTATGCAGTACTCAGCAATACCGCCTCCAAGCCATTCTCCCTTCACTCCCAGTTTATACCTGCACAGGTTCTTTAAAAGCCAAATTGGTTTCCCTACAGTCACACAGCACAGCTGCAGAAGGGCAGGAAAGAGTAATGTGAACAGGGCACATGTATCTAACACTGAAAACTCAGCACCCGGAAAAAACATCTGCCTTCCTTCTCTATCCTCTGGCATATGTTTGTGTGAGAGAGAAACTTAATTTTTTCTGTGTCTTAATTGTAATAAGTGCATAATAATACTCAGCTAGTTGACTTCCACCCCTCTTTGCAAGGCTGTTACATTAGTTGAGAAAAAATGGTTTTTGGAACTTTTTCTGTTGTTTGGCCTAAAATATGCTGCTTATTGTGCTAGACAATTATTGGCCTTGCTGGTGACATCATGACACTCTCCAGCTTTTGCTCAGGCAGATCTATATCTAACATGACCCTTACTCCATCTGTCAGTTCCCATGGCCTGCTTGTATTGTTCTTCTGTTTGCTCTGTATTTTTCCAAAGGACCCTTGCATGTGCCTGTTTTATTTTGGGTTCCCTTTGCAGCTGATGGAGAGACGGCAGCTTGAGCTGCAAACTGAGATAGGTGGTGTGTCTTGTATGGGAAACTTGGGTTCCTTACACACGCACCCAGGAGTAAGTCCTGAGGAGCAGTGTGAATGTTTTCCCTTCTCTATGGCAGTTACACGTTTTACCTTGTGTTCCCCTTGGTTTTGTAGAGAAGGACTCTCCTCCCACAATTGGAGTGCCCACACTGTCCATAGTAGCCTCCACAGCGAGCTCCGTTGCCCTGATTCTGCTCTTAGTTGTGCTGTTTGTTTTGCTGCAGCCAAAGCTGAAGTCGTTCCATCACAGCAGGTAAGTGTAGCTGGGGTTTGGAGGGGCAGAGGTGTACCATGTTTCTTTGCAATAGAAACCCATTCAAGTAGTTGGGTTAGATCTTTGTTTTGGAGCAACTTGGCTCCTCGCTTCCCTGCTCCTCTCTTCGTCACCTCTGGGATATCTCTGTCCCATTCTACTGATCCAGCGCTTCTCTGAAATGGTGGTCTGTGATGCCCACCTGCAGTCCATTCTTATGTGCCACCCAACAAGTGACTTCTTTATGCTGTTGCCTTGGCTTTGAATGGAAAAAGTTATGATACTTACTAGCCTGGCTGTAAATCAATTTCCTACCTCTTCTAGCCTTGGATAGCTACTGAAGTCTGCCTGGGTGTACATACGTGCATCTTTCCCAGGCTGCTTGAGATTCTGAGGACCCAAAATTAAGCAGTACTGCTCTTCAGATACATGTGCAGGTCTGCCATCCTTCTCTGCTGTGGGAGGAGAACCCTCCTGGCCTGGTTTGTGGATGAGAAGAGGAACCCAGCCATAACACTGCTGCCAGCTAAGGCAGACACTCCAGCAGTGGGGAGGTTGAGAGGTAGGGCCCTGCAGCCTGCCCTCTTCTGAAAAGGCCCAAAGTACTAGAAAAGAAAAAATTTCTCTCAGGTCTTATGAGGCCAAGTGATTTATGCTGTGCCAGAGCTGTGTTCCCCATCCTGCCAGGGGTTATCTGGCTGGCAGCAGAGGCAGTGGAACACACAGTGCTGGGTGCTGTGGAATGTAGCAGTGCACCAGGCTGGCATCAACAGTGCTCTTTGCCAAAAGCACAGAGCTGAGTCATGATATATGTCAAATTTAGCTGTGGAGGTAAGTGAGGGAGGGAGTGGGGGAAGCATAGTCACCTTTTCAGCTCTTGCTGTTAAATCCATTGGGTGTTGTGAATTACAGCCCCAGCTTATGTTTAGTGGCAATTCACAGTAGGGCTGCAAGACTGTGCTTGCTTGACCTTGTTAACTTACTGTTTGAATTTCTGTCCTCCCCTAAATGGTGAGAGTTAAGAGTTCTGCTATGGGAGGTTACTGGAGTTCTTGGTAAGATATATGTAGTAAAATAAATACTCAACTTGATTTATTTTTTTCTCCTCCCCCCTCTTTGTTCCTTTTTTTTGAGGCGGGACCAAGGTGTGTCTGGAGATCAGGTCTCTATTATGGTGGATGGTGTCCAAGTGGCCTTGCCATCCTATGAAGAAGCAGTATATGGCAGCACAGGGAACTGCATTCCACCCTCGGACTCCCGAGTGCAGATCGTGCTCTCAGAGGGAGCTGGACAGAATGGACCCAGAGAGATGCAGCAGCCGGACCAAGGGGCTCACAATACCTTTGAAAGAGAAGATGAAGCCCCTGGACATTCTGGACTGTGTGAAGCCAGTGGCTCTCAGCGCTCTGAAACTGTTCTTGTTCATCAGGCTGCTACCTCTTCCTGGGTAGCTGGCATGGCTAGCAGTAGACCTGTACACAAAGAGGTCCAAGATTCAGAAAGCAGTGACATACAGAGCCTTTTATCACTCACTTCCTCTGAGGAATACACAGATGGTAAGTGACTTGTGCAAGGAGCACGAAATTAGACCCTTTTGAGAGTAGGTTCTGCAGTTGACTATTTAGGGTGAAAAAATGACACAGGATGCCCCTATGTGTGTCTGCCACTAGAGCAGCTTTTGGAAAGATCCAGTCCTTATAGCATGTTTTACCTCTTAAACATGTAAGCAGTATTTAATCCCTTCTGAAGAATTTGGTTTTCTCAGATTGGGAGCTTAGGGCAGTCTGAGCAAGTTTGTCTATTGCTTGCTCCTGTTTTAACAAAGGATTTTCAGAGAAATACAGCCTCCAGCATCATAGTGCAAAAGCAGTAAAATAACTGTGTTTGTGGAAACTTAGTGGGGGTGGGAGGAGATGTTTGGAATACAAACCCTTTGTGATGTTTGGGCTGCTTAATTTTTAAACTATTTTAGTAAGCAGCTTTCTGCCATAAAGAATTCAGTACTACAGCCTTAGCCTGTAAGACCTAAGAGGGATGTGCTTGAACTTACTGTAGAAGGCAGAGGGGCAAGTCTGTTGAACAGTCAAAACATCTTTTATTCCTCACTTCTGTGCTGTCCTGAAGAAGTGGCTTTGCAATGCCAGAGTTGATGTGAAAGTGTAGCTTAAAGTTTCTTCTGCAGGGACTGCTGTGTCTTTGGCAATAAATGTAATTGGCTTGTAGATAGGTCAGGGCAGGACTTCTCTTTTCCATGGTATTAAGAAGTACTTTGTGCTGAGAGGGTAATGCAGGACCAGATATACACCCAGAGTGGTGATGGAATCTGTCCTCGGAGTTTTTCGAGGCTGAAGCTGGTGATGGTCCCACTTTCAGGGGCAGGTTGGAGCAGAGCCCTCCAGAGTCCTTTGTGCTGTGAGGTGATGAGAGGGAGACCACTGCACTGTCATGTTATGAAAGTGGGAGCCTGTCTTGCTTTCAATAGTACTTTTTCTGGTGTGTTGAACTACAGAAGTTTGACTGCTTTTTCTGTTTTTTCTCTCCCCACCATTCAGATATTCCATTATTGAAGGAAGCATGAGGTCTGCTGTGTTTGTCTAGTTTTCTCCATCTTGGATTTTTCCTCCCCTTCTCTCCCTGCCTTTGGGACAGAAGCACTCTGTGCAGTCTTCCCCATCCTCGCAAGCTGTACCCTGGATACCTCCAAGAAGAGATGCCCTCAGCTGAAGATCCAAAGGATGTCGCCAGGTTGCCTCCTGGATGCACCAGTGGAGTTGGTGCAGCACTGGCTTCCCCATTCCATCAGCATCAGGGGCTCAAGGAACAGAGTGGATTTGAGCTCTCCTCTCCTCTTCCCCAGCCAGATGTTTGACAGCAGTCTCTAAAGAGCTGCTCTTTTCTTGTGCCTTTCTTCTCCTCACACTGGCTTGTTGCAGCTTATCAGCCTTTCTAGCCCTTCTGCTGCCCAGAGAGCAGGGGCTAAACCCGCTTGCTCGCTGGCTGCGGACACAGTTTAAATATACATATATATGTTATATAGGCTCTTCTTCCAGCATCCTCTTTGTGACAGGGCAGGACAAAATGCCTCACTGGGACTGACACTGGGCTTGGGAGGGCTCGCAGTTAAGGAGCAGCTTGTGATGCCTAGAAGCACCTCAAGTGAGATGGACTGTGTGACAGCTTAGACCTGCAGGAATTCACTGAGAATTGCTTAAGCACTGAAGGCTGAGAAGTCCAACATGTAGGAATGCCCTCTGTCCCATCTCTGCTGGAGTCCATTCCTGGAAATCACTTTTGTCCCTTCCTTCTTCCTCTACCAGTGCAGCCCACTGGAAGAGGTTCAGATGTTTGAAAATACCAAGACAAAAAATGCCTGTAGTAGTGCGTTCCTAGTGCCATTGGTGCAATCCCAAATTCCTTTTCCAGCCATAGTAAGTACTTGAATCCTGGGTAGCTGCCATCTCACAGGCTGGTGTGTCTTCCTAGCTTTGTACAGCAAAGGGTCTGCTATTTTAACCTGGTGGGCTTGAGTGGGCCCATAGAGAAGGGCTCCTCCCTTGTGGCTGGGGGTAAGCAGCTTTTGGTAAAGCTTCTCCTAAACACAGTGCCAGCCTGTTGTGGCGAGGGAAAGTCAAGTACACTGACAGCAGTGCTAGAAGACGCCACAGCTCAGTGCTGAAGTTTTGAGGTTTGTTTCAAGTTCTGGTAGTAGGGAAGAGAAAATTCAGAAATATGTGTACCTCTGCTCACCGCAGTTATCTACAGCAGGTCAGATTGTCTGTGTTGGAACTCTGTAACTGCAGGAAGCCACATTTGTCTGGGGTAGACAGTCCAAGTGCTGTGGTGGTTGTAAGGTTCCTCACTGATGTCTGGGCACTGTTCATGGGATTGGTTTCAGCAAGAAGAGTTGATTTCTTAGATGCATGTACCTTGTCATAACTGTCTTGAAGTAACCAGGGAGGTGTTTGCCCTGTGAGAAGCTGCTGCATTTTTGAGTTGAAGGAGCAAAATGTCATGGCCTTACACATCATGTGGTAATGTACAGGTAAACAGGGATGTTGTATTTGCTGCTTTGCTTTTGGTTTGTGATCCTCACCATCCTTATCCTCATTGCTACAGTAAAAAACCATTACAGCACCTGACAAAAATGATACAACATCTTTACGTATAAAATCACTGTGGCATAGCTCCAGTTCTTTGAAATGGGGATTGGTCATAGTGTCCAGCTGTGTATTTGCTATTCTTTTTCCTGAATAGCTATTAAGTCCCAGGACAGATGGAACAGTGTGTGCCTGTGGATGGAAGAATCCTTTTTTCCCTATCCTTGTTATAGAGGGATGTTAATTTACGATTAAAGTGTTTTAAACATCCTTCCCTGTTGCTCATGTTACCTTGCATTAACACAAGAATTTGATAAATCCCTTTTGGGTGGTTTAGGTATTTTTTTTTCTGTTTGGATGGTGAAAATCCTGTGTCATTTTACAGTGGGCTGTGGTGTCTCAGCTTCAAGAGCTGTAGAGGACAAATGTTGTTTACACATCTGCCATTAGAATTTTTAAAAAATAAGCATGGGAACGATTGTATTTAGCTTTTTGGCTGTTGGTAATAGTCTAAGCTTGAGTAAATTCTCCTTCATTGGTTTATTCAAGGGGTTGAGAAAGTGTAGTGGTAATTGAGTGTGGAGAAAAGTCTGTGTGATTTTCCTGCTGCCTAAACAGCTCAGAGCAGGAGTTGTTTTTTATGCATTTAGGGTCCTGCCTGCTCAAACTGACCCTCTGCAATTACAGGTATAGAAGTTGGGAATGTGTTGCCTTCCTGAAAGGGGTAGTGCTAGTTCTAGGTTGGTGGGAGAAGCTGGAAGCTGATCCCAAGGCAAGGCCTAACCTTGCTCTGGACGAGCACCTGCACCACCAGCAGAAAACACATCCTCTGTGGCCTGGCCTCCTCTCTGCTGTTGTAAAACAAGCAACTGCCAGCTTGGGGGAGAAAATTCAATTTGAGTGAGGGGGAAAAGGAAGCAAGCTCTACAAAGAGGGAGTGTTTTAATTTCACAGAATCACACAGAATTAACTGGGTTGGAAAAGACCTTTAAGACCATCATGTCCAACCTATGACAGGACAGCACTTTGTCAACTAGACCATGGCACTGAGTGCCACCTCCAGGGATGGTGACTCCACCACCTCCCTGGGCAGCCCATTCCAATGCCCAATCAGCCTTTATGTGAAGAATTTCTTCCCAATGTCCAGCCTAAACATCCCCTGGCACAGCTTAAAACTGTGTTGCTCATTACCTGGGAGCAGAAACTGACCCCCACCTGGCTACACCCTCCTTTCAGGGAGTTGTGGGGAGTGATAAGTTTTCTCCTGAACCTCCTCTTCTCCAGGCTGCACAACCCCAGCTCCCTCAGCCTCCTCATAGGATTTGTGCTCCAGACCCTTTACCAGCCTTGTTGCTCTTGTCTAGATCCATTTGAGCATCTCAACATCCTTAAATTGGGGGGTCCTGAACAGAACACGGCACTCAAGGTGCAGCCTCAGCAGTGCCGAGTACAGGGGGATGATCTCAACCCTGGTCCTGCTGGCCACACTGCTCCTGATACAGGCCAGTGTGCCATTGGCCTTCTTGGCCACCTGGGCACACTGCTGGCTGTATGTTCAGTCTGACATCAGTCAGTGAGCCCAGGTCCTTTTCAGCCTGGCAGCTGTCCTGCTGCAGGGGGTTGTTGTGGCCAAAGTGCAGGACCTGGCACTTGGTCTTGTTAAACCTCATATAATTGGATTAGATAAAAATTGTTGGAAATGGCTTTGCTAACGAGTTGAGGAAATGTGGAGGTGGAGGAGGGAAATATGCAAGTGTAGCTATTGTGATCAAGTATAAACAGGCAGCTTCTGTTGGCTTGTTGAGGGTGAGCCAGCAGCTTCCAGGCCATTCTCCATGCTGGCTGGTAACCTATCTGATTATTCCAGATCCTGCAGAAGAGCTGTATTCCCTGCAGCAAATCTTGTGGGAACAGGGCCCAAGGATCTGTGTGAGCCAGAATATAGAATGCAGTTTGGAGGTATCACACTGCTTGTCTACATCCTCAGCTTTAGAGTTAATTTTCTTATAAAATTAGGTGAAACAGCAGGGGAGGAACCCAGAAGACATCTGACAACTTTTTCAAGGGGGAGGGGGAGAGCAAGGCCTCACTTTACTCATTATTATTATTCATTCGTGTTTGTTTTAATTCTGCAGAGGCTGAAGGACTGAAAAGTCTTTGGGTAGTGATACAGGAAAACCTTGCACAATCCTATCTTTACTTATGGGAGCAAGGCCTGAAGCCTAAAGATCGCTGAGATGTGAGCTGCACTCTGCCTCAGAAGTGTTTGTTATCTTTGAGCTGAGTATGTTCTCTCTGGATTTTGCCATAAGTCGATGCAGCCTGCATCTCAGTGTAGTGGATAAGAAGCACAGAGGCTCAGACTTGCAAGATGTAGTACAGTAAATGGGTTTTCCCCTTTGTTTTTTTTTTCCCTGATGGGGCCACAGTCTCCATACCTTTTCTTCCACTGCCTATGTCTGGCAAAAGATTTCAAAGGGAGGCATTTTTCTTATTTAACACTCCCAACATAATCATCTTATGCTTTGTCATATGTGCTGGATCCAGTGATATTCAAGAACATTAAAATTATTTAATTATATTGAGAAAAATAAAAATAGCACTTATTTTAAAGCTTTCCATTATTTTTGGAGTCTGATAGTTGGGGGGGAAAGGGCATTTTAGAAATCCAGGCTATTATGTGCAATAGAAGAACTTCCTTGCTCCTTTCCAGTTCCATAATTAACAAAAAATTAAAAAAAAAAAAAAAAAAAAAGAAATGCAACTCATTGCAGTGTTTACAGTCCAAGCATTGTAGAACTGGACCAGCCTGAGAGAAACACAATGTGAAGTTGACAGTGACCCATGGGGAAGTGGGCCAGTCTCTCATCAGGGTCTGCATCATGAAGCTCACCTCAAATGATGCCAGAAGGGCGTCAGCAGCACTGGTGAGAGAGGGGTTTGTGTGTTCTGGTTTTAAATAGCTTGTGCTTCCCCATCATTAACTGCAGAAGATGTAAAAAATAAGTTGGGAGACATGCACTGAAGCATGTGAGCCTTTAGAGTTGTTGCTGAGTTACAACATCAAGAGTTTGGGAGGGAGAAGAGCTTAAGGCATTTTTATCCTTAACCACCAGGGAAATTTCTAGGTAGCAGAACATGTACTCAGCAAGCAGAGTGCTTTTCGCCCCTTGGGCATTGCTGCTGAGGTTTCTCCTTAGCCTTTCAGGTCTGGTGTGGTGAATTGTTTACTGCATCTGGTGTCTTAATTTGGCCTTTCAGTGTGTGTAGAACTCAGGTGTGTTAGGAAGAAATCTGTTCCACATGCTCTGAGAAGAAACATCCTATGATGCTCTGAGAGGTGGATGACTTTGGTCAGTACTGAGGAGTGGGGCTAAGATAGCAACTGGCTCAGCCATTGGAAATAATCTGAGATGGTTAAGTCATTTGCAGCACAGAAAAGGGAACGCAAGGAGTTGTCTAAGGAACAGTTTCTAAGAGCAGAAAACAGAGGTTTACTACAGGCTAATGAGCTAATGCAATCGTGATCAGGTTGTAAGGAAGCTTGTGCTTTGTTAGATGATTTAGCATACCACCAGCAGGCTTGCTGTATAAAAAAATTAATGTACAACTGGTTCGACACACTGAGCTGTCCTTGCTGACCTTTTTAGAACATACTTGCAAAAAAATGTGGTTTTACTGTTCTGATAGCAGTTTAAACAAAAAATCTGCCTTGTTAATCTATTCAGATATCTATTTAAATAAATTTCACTTTGGTTTTTTTGTATATAAATGCAATAAATCCCATTCATTTTGCACATCCTGCCTCACCCTGTCTTCACCCTTTAATCCTTACTAGGGAACAGCAGATTGAATTTGCTCTGTGTGAAAACCTTTGCTTGCAGAAGAACTTCATTAGAAAACAGTTTTTCTCTACTATAGGCTTTGAAAGTGCAAAGAGGTTTCCTAGAGCAGGCTTCATTTTAAGGTGTATTTTTATACAAGAAGTAAGCCTTTTTCCAGTCCTAGCACACCAGGACAGAACATAACACTTCCCACACTTCAGGGCCCTGTGTTCAGCACTGCTTTCAAACTTGACCCTCTGCAGGTGATGTTCAGATCTGTGTACCCACCAGCACATGTTGTATTGATGCTCTGCATATGCTTTCTGTAAGCTATGCTTTTGCTTCTGTCCTTGAGTGAGAGCAGACAGAGACAACTGAGTTGTACTGGAAAATGTTTTAGTTCAGGTTCTCAGAGTTGCTTCCTTCCAAAAGAAAACAAAGTGAAGTTGTCTGTGAAGCAGAAGTCCAATGATGTGGTGGGTAGACTGCTGGTAGTTGCTGATGCAAGGGGAGCTTGATTGCCTTTCTGCATTAATCTTTTCTTTCCTATATGTGTTTTCTTCTAATCTGAATTGCACCACTATGGAATTATTTGCAGAATGGTACTCCATATATATGTGGGATTTAAAACCATAACTGATGCTGTGCAGGATGTCACCCAATCGGTTTTATTTTGCTTTATTTTCTATGTATTTTCTGGTATCCTGTACATTGCAGTGGGTGTGAAAATAGTATTTTAATATTTGTACAAAGTTTAATTTAATTGTTCTATGTATATAGCTGCATTTCTAAATTAAAAAAATTCTTTTGAAGTGAAGAATTTCTTGTGTTTGTTTGCTCGGTGGGTTTTTTTCTGTTTTGTTTTAACTGCTTAGGCCTTGTAGCCTGGCAATCTAGCAGATCACAATTAATATGTTGCTGTTGTAAAAACCAGGATGAAGCTAAACCTAGCTCAAGTATCTTGGGGAAGAGAGGTTCAGAGTTGGTGCAGCCTTAGAAGGATCATGTTTCCAAGTTCAGAAGCAAAGGCTGCCCTTGGTGTGCTTGCATAGAATTCCTTGAGGAATGGGGCCAGGCTGGGCAAGGGGTAAAGGTTTAAAGAGATCATGTATGGTATGAATGGATTTCAGAGAGGAAGACAGGGTAAATAAATAGCTAATTCATCTTTGAGTCTATGTAAGAACAGTATATATAAGAAGAGTGCTATTTTTAGAAGGGAGATAGCTTTCATTGGTGAAATAATCCCAAGTGGGTAGCAGGTCAGTACAGGAGACATCAGAGATCTACAGATATGTTGGTTAGTGCATCTGTGAGTGCAGAGGGGAGGCTGGGGCAGGCTCGGTTCTTCCCTCTTCTGTGGTTGTGCTGCATTGGGAGGGTGGGAGAAGCAGAAACTGCAGAGGAGTAGACAGCCATTGTTCTTTCAGTGTGATATACAATTCATTACTCTTTTTATTAATTTTTTGTTTTGCTTCAGAAACTAAGGTAACTGCCTTTTCAGCCAAGGGTACTAATGAGTGTTCCTTTCTTTAAACAGACTCTTATCAGTAACACAGTAGGGAAGGGAAGGAGAGGGAAGATCCTTTTGTCCAGCTTGTTCAAAGCAGCCTTCAGAGATGTTAAGATTTTTGTTTAATTGCAGACATTACTTTTATTCTTTGGGCAGGAACAGCCAGGTTAAAGACAAGGGAAGGGGTGACATCTACGTTCCTCCTATTTCCATTTGTTCCAAAAACTATTTCCACACAGCAAGCAGATCTTACTGTAATTTTACTAGTGTGAAACTGGAGCTCCCTGGTCTTTGCATGCTTCCTGTACCAGACAGTTGACACAAGGGACTAATTGGCCTCCAGGAGTTGTTTTTAATTATTGTTTTTCACTGGGTGATGATCTCCTGCCGCAGCAGTTCTGGCAGCCAGGAATGTACCCTTCTTGCCACATTGGAAATTATTTGTCACCTCTGGTTTGTCCTGGCAATGAGAAATAACTGTGGGAGCCAAGCCTGAAGGAAGCCAGCCTGAGGTGGGTGGTCTGGGCAATCTTCCTTGACAGCTGGCCCTTTGGCGGCAGGGCGGAAAGGCCAGGGCACGCAGGAACATCTCTGCTCCAGAAGAGCAGCCCCGTCACAAAGGCTGACCCCGCCACAAAGCCTCTTCGAGCAAGTGGCTGAGGAAAGGGCACGGGTGGGCTGTGCCCTCGCCGGGGTCCCGCCGCCGGCCGCCGTTCCGCCCCCGCGGGCGCGCCGCGCGGCGCAGGAGCCGCGAGCGGCGGGCCGGGGCGGCTCGGGAGAGCTCCGTGCCTCGGGCGGCAGCTCCGCCCGCCGGGACCCTCCCTGCGCTGAGAGCTCCCCCAGCCGCTCACTTTTTGTGAGGCTGTCGTGGAAACGCAGATTCCCCTCCGAAAGGAGACTGCCGGCAGGCTGCGTGCCAGCCAGCCCGTGCTTCCCAAAGCGTTGGTGCACTCCTCACCTGCCGGGGCCGCAGGGCTCCTTACGGTGCTGTCGCTGGAGAGCCTGGCCAGGGCACCCTGCCAGCCCCCATTCCTCATCTCTTGTGGTACTTGGCAAAACTGAATGGTCTCTCCTGGCACCAAGCTGGGATGCAGGAGAAGGGATGGGAAAGCAAACGCAATGGACTTCCCAATTCTCTCTGTTCCTTTTTGCAGGACAATGACGTTTACCAGCAAACACCTCACCTTAACCTTCTGTGAGACACAGACAGAGCTGAGCAGCCCTCAGGGTACCTTGGCATAAGGTGATTGTTCTTTGACAGCTCTTTGTCATTTGGCCCATGCTGAGCCCATGGTGCATCTGTGGGATATACCTCAGGCTTTTCATGTTACACCAGTGAGGAAAAAAACAGATTCTGGGGCAAGAGGGCACAGACTGGTTCTAGTAGGCACAAACACCCTTGACTCCTTGTCCAGATGTGCCCCTGTGATCTGGCAGCTCTTCTAGTGGTTGGTGTTTGAGATCACGCTGAGTTTAGCAGCTCTGTGTGGCATACAGGGTTTATCTTCCAGGCTCATGTGTCCCGATAAGGCTGGGGGACCAACTTCATGGGACAAACATGCTCTCGCTTGTCCCCACGTGTCAAACCACAGCACCCAGTGGCTCGAGCAGCCAAGCATCACTGGGTGCAGAGCTGATGCTCTCAGGGAAGGAGGGGGCAGCTGTTGTGGGTCAGAACATCCTCTGAATACCTGAGAGCACCAGGTCTTATTCATCAGGTTCAGTGGCAGTTGAGCATGAGAGGGCAGGTGGGAGAGGTGGCAGTGGCAGTGCACGACCTTCCTGACCAGTTAGTGGCAGCTGGGGATGCTGCTGGACTGGGTAGAGCTGCTGGCTGCTTTGCTGGATTTGCTTCTGCCCCAGCTCTGCCCATCAGGCAGATCCTCCACTAAGAAGGGCTAACATGTTACCTATAATTAGAAGGTATATAATGTTCATCTTTAAACCCACATTTAAAGTCTCCTGATGTTGAGAAGATCAGGGGCTAGATTTGGGAGTAGCAGAGTTTCCCTAGGGAGCCAGCTCCTGGATGGGAGCCAGAAGTGGAAGCCTGGTACCCAAGGGTGCTGATATGCTGAGTTTCCTATTTCTCGCTCTTCTCCCTGGGTGCTGCAGGGCAGTATAGGGCTTCCTGTGGGTGACAGGACTCAAAACTTGCACAACTTTCCTCCATTTCCATGAGCTGCCTGCACAGAATGGCAGAAATGTCCCTGTAATTGCTGTTTCCTGGAGATTTATTATCCTAGGTTCAGCTTTGCAAGATAGAGTTGTTACCATCCTACAGTCTGCTTCCCCTCATAAATGTAACCTGGCTCCAAATAATTGCTTCCTCCAGGAAGCTTTAAAATAGTTGATTTGTTGGTGAAACTCTTCAGTATTTCTCTTATTGCCTGCCTGTGCTTTTTTCAACGGTTTTACAAATAACTGGGGATTTTATCTTTGTGGCGTCTCTGTGGGTGGGAAGGCCCACACTGCCCTTGTTGATGGAGAGGGGGAAAAAACAAAAGCACAGAAAACTGAAGTAACCTCCAGGTCAGAGGTTGTGTTGCAGGCAGGAGATAAATGCTTTTAATGACAGCTTCTCCATGTCTTTTTCCAGACCTCTGCTTTAGCTGTGAGCTCCAGTTCTGCATGTGGTGACCGAGGGATGGCCCCTTTATTCCAGCCAGGCTGTGGAAGGGAATGACTGAAATGGTAATTCAGAGATGTTGATTGTCCTCATGTGGAGCCTAATGCCAAGGGTAGCACCTGCTACTTAATCACTCTCTTGAATGGGTTTGAGATAAACCAGTCAGGGCCCTGCCCTTGGGTATCCAATGGAGGCCCTGCTGTTCCCAGCCTAAGAAAGGTCAGTGGGGACTCTGGCAGTCGTGCCAGGAAGTTTCTTCTTTGCTGCATTTTGGCAGCAAAATTAGGAATTTCAGAACAAAGCGGTAAAAATGCAATGGAGTGTGGGAGTTGTTTGGGTGCAGAGGCATGCGGTGCTGTTCCTTAGAGGTGCTGGAATAAGGTTTTCTTGCTTACTATTGCAATAGGGAACAAAGTGTGTTGCTGTTTTGATTGGTTTATCAGTTTGGCTGGTCCTGGTCCCAGTGAGTTGAGAAGCAAGAATTAATGCCTTGTAGCTTCCTCATGCAATTAGCAAAGACAATTATGATAAATTCAGGGAGATTAAATGTTTTTTTTTCTTTGCTTCTCCCTCTGTTCTGCATTTGTATGAAGTCATCTTCACTTTAGACCTGGGATTACTTTTTGTAGTTTCTGAGGATGCCCATCACCATTGCATTTTGATCCTTCCCCCAGGAGCACAAACCCATCAGCAGCATTCTTACTGCTAACCTGAAGCCAAGGGAGTAAGGAAGGGATGTAAATGGGGCAAGAGAAAGCACTCTTACCAGTCTCTCTCCAGAGAGAGAGGCCCAAATGTGATCTCTCAGGGCACAGGGGAGATACTTTGCTGTCAGGATAATGACTGAGTTAATAAATTCTCCAAACGCTATGTCCTTCTGGGCAATTGATGCAGTTTACTTTGAAATTTTCAAAACCAAGAAGTATGATTTTTTTTTCTTTTTAAAGTCCAAAAGATATTTCTTATTTTATTGGCTTCCATAACCAAGAAAAGTTACTTGTAACTTTTATGTGTCTCCTTTTTAATCTGGTGAGGGAGCAGGAGAATATTACTGCTTGAGGGGGATTCCCGCCCTCCCCTGCTTTTCAAAGAAAGCTTGCCTTGTTTTAAGTGTTTTCCTTCTGCCTGTCTCCATAGAAAATATAAGGGATATGGGATCTGGTATTCATTATAAGCTCCCAACAGAGTTAGATCAATGAAACTTTAAATAAAGCAGCTGTGAGCTGGTATGTTATTTAGCTGTTGAAGTTAAAAATGTGCTTAACAAAAACAGAGCATAATCATTTGGTGAGGCTCTTTATTCCCTCTTTCAGGAGCTTATTGACATTGTCTTGTGGCTCTGCTTCACAGATCTCGCCTGAATTTTCATCTGTGTACCTGCCTATCTACTAGAACATGGAGCCTGGATCATGAAGCACCCAGCTATTACATAGCCATGGCTACTTTTACCTTTGAAATTAAGGATGTCAGTTTAAACATAAAACCACCCTTTTCTTCCTTGAATGTGAAAAGGATTTGGTAAAGCAAACAAACAAACAAAAAACCTTAAAATTGTCTTTTCTTTAAATAGGGAAAGATTTTTTTAAATGCTCTTCTTTATTTCCTTTTTCTTACTTTTTTTGTTCTAGCTTTGGGAAAAAAAAAAAAAAACCAACAAAAAAAAACCCCAACAAAACAA